GATTTTCTTTCTGTATATATAAAAATCATTCTTCCTGATGCTATAACAGCTATTATATCTAACTGTTGATGATGCTGGATTATTATATTAAAGTTTACATAAACAAGAGAACTGATATAAAAACAATGAGTATGTCATTATGCTTCTTACTTTCACACATAGATGAGATCAACTCAGATTTTTCTGGATGAGTGTATTACATATATGCCTATAGCCTAGCTGTTGGCAATAGTATGTGAATGCAACCATCTTATCATAAGTATACTTGTAAATTTCAAAAAGACTTCATATTAGCTGTATTACAGAAGCTTAAAATCTTGCTTGTCAGAAAAAAACAAAATTAAAGACGGGAAAAACAAAGGAGCTTCTCGGAATTTGTGACAGTGATTCCATTGTAGTTTGGTACATTGTAGTGCACCTTTATATCTTATCAGTCATAAGTATCCTAATGTTTCTTATTGGGACTGGAAAATGATATTAGAGTACATACACGTGTGGGTGCACTTTGTTGAATGATCTGTAATGTTGTATTTGAATTTTGCACCTTATCAGAAGTGTATCTCTTCTTCTCCTGGCTGCTGAGGCCCTTCTAGACTCTGTAGAACCTTTCAGCATATCATTTTATTCCTTGTTTCCAATTCCATTACATTTATGGTAACTACTTAAATTATCCTAGTGTAACAGCAACATTATTTTCTACAAATTTACACTAACTGGTTCTATGTTCTACATTAATTTTTTATTAAGTATCTTATTTAACATTACTATCTCATGTTTTTCCTGTAATTTCAGTCAATCAACCCTGCAGAAACTTTTGGTGACATTGTCATTGATTACCCGTAAGATTCAGACATATTTAAAACAAAAAATTTATTTCATGCTTAAACAAAATTTCTGTTATTCTATGACTAATTCTAATTTGAAGTTTACCTGAGTGTCAATATAGATATGTTGAGTGTACCTCAGCAGCAATTCAAGCACTTGCGTCCTTCAAGCAATTACATCCTGAGCATCGGACAGAAGAAATAGAAGATTGTATTGCTAAAGCTGTGCACTTCATTGAAGAGATGCAAACAGCAGATGGATCGTGGTTTGTATACATTAATGTCCAAGTCTCTTTTCATGGTTGTGCTATTGTCTTCCCAATCAGGAAGTGGGATTCGATACGTGTCTCCTTGTATCAATTTGCTGGCGGCATGAGCTTCTTTTCCCTTCTCATTTTAGTTTGATTGAGGCCATAAAGCATGGGTTAAGAAATACATGTATGCTTCAACTATTTTCCTAGCAATTGTTAAATATCTACGGTGTTCTCTTCCATAGGTATGGATCTTGGGGAGTGTGCTTTACTTATGCTGGGTGGTTTGGAATAAAAGGGTTGGTAGCTGCTGGTAGAACATACAAAAGTTGCTCCAGTGTTCGCAAAGCCTGTGATTTTCTCTTGTCCAAAGAGCTTCCTTCTGGCGGGTGGGGAGAAAGTTATCTATCCTGTCAGGACAAGGTTCGGTAATTCAGGCACTCTACAATTCCTTTTACTTTTAAGGTTTCCAGCTTTCTCTGATCCACATAATTGCCTTTGATAATAAGTTTCTGTTTGAATCAGCTAACTTTTAACTTGAAGATCATTGTTATTATTTCCTAACTGTGCTGCATAATAGTGTTGCAGAAGAAAATACAAAATGAAGTGTCTCGTATTTGTCCTACATTCCTTTTCTCTTTTGAATTTTCTGAGCTTATACTTTCCAGTGACTCTGATATGCAAGTCAGTCCCAAAAATGCATGCACAAGGACACTAAGAAAAGATCTCGAATGCTAACTATTGCATTGTGCTAGTTTTCAATTAATTTAGGGGCTTTCTACCAGGCAAGACAAGAAACACAAGGCTTTAATGGACACTAAACTGAACTGTCTTGAAGTTAGATAGATCTATTCTCCAGTTCATCCATCATGTTCTGACCAAGTCTTGTCATTAATCTTTTACAAGCCAACTTGCTGTTGATGATGATAGTCAAGCTCCATGAGATTAATGTCAACCCAGTGTACTACTTTTAATCTCAAAAGAAAAATGTCAACCAAGTGTACAGTGGCTGACAAATATGTGAAGTTTTATGCTTTTTCGATCAATGGACTGTAAGGATCTCACTAGGTTGAAACAGTTACAGATTACTGAAACTGGAGGAATGGTTTCTATCATTTCACTCACTGAAACTAGTATGATGTTGATAATACTAATTCAGCAAAAAGCAATAATAAGAGTGAAATATAGTAATTAGAAGAACATAAGATTAGTAGAGGAAAAAGAAGATTCCTTCTTAGCTTAATGATAAAAACATATGAAAATGATAATATTAAATATTGTAAAGCTTAATCATAAAAATATTCTATCTTAGCTTGTTCATGCTGTGCATCAATGTGTTACTAAAGAAGATTGCAAAATATTATGTTATTAATCAGAAAATGCTTGCATGATATATTATTTAGAGTACTACTATTCTGGCTTTACTTGAGTAATCTGTTCACCTCTAATGTGAGAATAAATTGAAATTGTTGTTCTCAATGGTTTTATTCTTTAGGGGTGATATGTAATCCATGTTGTTAAAGATGTAAATTAGGGTGTTAAAGAGTTTGGTTTTTTTTTTAAATCTAAAGTTTTGATACCATGCCAAGAATTGTTTGGAACGTATTTTATTGAATATTACAGATCTATACATATAGGTTTTTCATGAGAGAAAAAGAAGATAAACTATTAATTATAGTTAATTACAAAAGTGTAATTTATCCTTACATTTTTTAACTTGACCGACTTACTCTTTAACACCCTAATTTATTTCTTCCTTAACAATTTCACCTTTAACCTGATTTACTTCTTCTTTAACAAATGTTATGTCTATTGTCCAGGACTATACAAACCTCAAGGATAACAGACCACACATTGTAAACACTGGGTGGGCAATGTTAGCCCTTATTGAATCTGGCCAGGTAAATTTGTGGTCAATTATGTCTTAAACATTTCATGTGATTGAAAAACTAGAAATCTTTGATTTTGCTGATGCGGTGAACAAGTCGAATTTACTTTTTTTCCCCTTTTCTTGAACTGAAATTATATGTTCTTAAAAGGTGTATGTTCTTCGGTTTCTTATATGCAAAAAAATCATGCTTATCACCTTCTTTACATTCAGATATGCAAAAAAGGAGAGATTAGGAAGAAAGCTTATACTCATTTCCTGATTCTATCTTGTAATATTTAGGCTGATCTGCGTTATTATTGCATCCTTAAATCTCTTATATTGGAAGCAGTTTTATCTTATATTTCAAGTTTGCTAATCTAATGCAGTTTAATGTTAATGGATTTTTTTCACTGCACCTAGACATTAGGCATGAGACTGGGGCTTGTGCCTAAACTTGTGTTATCTTACATCTGTTCAGTGCTTGTAATAACTTCCAGCAAGTTCACTTTCAATGTTCTTATTTATGTTCCTCTTTGAAAAGGCTAATAGAGATCCAAGGCCACTGCACCGAGCAGCAAAGATACTAATAAATTCTCAACTAGAGAATGGAGATTTTCCTCAACAGGTAAATCTGGTCAACCTTGTCCTATTTCTTTTTTCATGGAAAATATATTATCTTCTATGAACCATGGAATCAAATCAAATTTCTTATCTAGCTAGTTTGATTTCTGTCCTGCTAATCAGATTATCTATTAGCATCTTTATTTGTTCAAGAAAAGCCCTAAAGGACCTTAAGGCAAATGGTTAGGGAAAAGGGTTATTTCACTCAATAGATTACTGCTACAAAAGCCTCTTGTATCTGTTTTCATGTTATACTATGTTGCAATAAATCATTTATTTTAGGAAACACTACAAGTAGGTTAGGAATTCGAGGTTTATATATATTTCATAGAACAGGAATAAAACAGAGTTAATTTGACATGGTCATCCGTATTTATCCTGATTTCTGCACACATTATCACAGGAGATAATGGGAGTCTTCAACAAAAACTGTATGATAAGCTATGCTGCTTATAGGAATATTTTTCCTATCTGGGCCCTTGGGGAATATCGTACTAAGGTATTGCAGGTCTCCTGAGTAATTCTAAGTTACTTGAAAATGTCTTGGAGTTCTTTTTTCAGATGAAATAAAAACCTATTCGATTTGTTTATTACAAGTCTGGTTTCTGATATTTATTTAGAGAAAAAAGTTTGGTTTCTGGTATCGCACTCTACCTGCAGAAATTAATTGCATGTGTGGCACAAATTTCTTAGACATTTTTTTTTTTCCTATTAATTGTTTATTGTTTAAAGAAAATTAGGCAAACAAATTGAGAACCTAAGTTGAAAACAAACCTTCGTTGAATGATTAAGAAACAAGAGTTGTATCCCCAAGCCATTTTTAATTGAAACAGCAAAAATTAGTGTGAAATCAAATCCCAATCACACTTGAAATAAGCCAAAGCCAGTACTGAAACCAGGAACAAAGGCTCACCGAGCTGAATGGTAGGGAGCAGGTAACAACTAAGCCAAATCTCTTATTTATCATATTGCAGTTTTGATTTCATACAATATTAGGTGAAGTAGTAGTCCATAGAGAAATTTCATTTCTATTTAAATAAAATTTTCTTTTCTACCTATAATGATATACAGAAATAGATTGCATTAAATTGATTTGATCTTTTTACAAGAGAAAGAATTTATATTTTATATATATGCACTTGACTTTTGAATTTGAAAAGTATTTGGACATTAATTAGTGAGAAAACATATGATATGTTATGGTAAAAATGCTTGGTCCGGTATCCTAATAGGTAAATTCATTGAACATTTAATAATAAAAAGATAAGTTATATAAGAATATATGGCAAAGTTAAGGATATTTTAATCTTTTAAAAGGAAAGACAACAGTATCAGTTAGTTGAAACATCCCTATTTATTAAATTTAGAATGATGCACTTATGTTGTTTTAGTTAATTGTTTAAGAAAAAGAAGATTGGAGGAATTGGATGTCTTCATAGATCTCTCTCTCCCTCTCTCTATGTTTGCAAATATATATATATACATATCTATGACAAGTGGAGATAGATATTCAGAAATAGCAGCTTGAATTTAGAGACCTTTGGTTGGCAAAGGAACATCTTTGCGGTACTCCACAAGAGCCCACAATGGGCAGATGTTTCTATATGCTTCATAGTGTAACATGCAGTTATTTCCTGACATAAGAGATCACTAATGAAATGATTCATCGTAAAAAATAATTATACATATAATATATACATAGATGTATCTAAATATAGGTATGAAGGGGGATCCTACCACTTGGGAGAAGTCACCCTTTTCTAGTTGAGAATTAATTATCAATTTTGTTGCACGATGAAGAGGTGTTAGATCTCTATTGGCCTGTATATAATACGGGAATGTTATTTTATATGTTTGTATATATATATATGCATGTATATATCCAATTTAATTATGAAGGAGAAACAAAAGAGAAACAAAGCTGATAAATAAATAAACAAAACATAAGTTTAAGCAAAATGACCTGACCAGAATAAATAAGACCCATCAGAGCCCAACTAGTGTGCACCAAGTTTGATCTACCTTTTTCCAAAGGTACATATTTCACCATATGTACATACATATTACTAGTTAATCAATTGTTAATATGTGTGTGTATATATATACATATACATACCTTATCAGGGCAAGAACGATATCTTTCTCCCACCATTCGGTCTTTGTATTCTAAGAAGAAATGCAACTCCTTTACACACAACAACACAATTGTTGTAGGTCCTGCCTGCGGCTGCTAATCCCCAAGTGCAAACCATGCCCCGTAAGTGAAACAAACTCTCCAATTTCCGTACCTATTTCAAAATTTTCTTGTGATTATAATTAGCTACTAATTATCAATTATTTAATAACTAATAGATAATTAAAAAATACTCAAAAAATGTGTAGGAATATTTTACATTAACTTCAAATTATATTATGAACCATCGCTCATTTGTATGTTTTAAATGTCTTGAAGGTATTTTGTAGCATTTGTTTATGAAATTATTAATCTCTTTATTTTTATACGTAGGATATAATTTCTTAAGTAAAATAAGATCTTTAATTATTGATCCTCTGTGTTTAATCACAATGTCAGGTAAAAATTCTGTAGGATTCAATAGTTGGAAAAAGCAAAATGAAATGCTCATCAAAATATTAGAAATATAAACTATATTTTTAATAAAAATATTTAATTTAGATTACACAACTCTTTTATTTTATTATAAAATGGACAACTAAAGTTCGAATGTTATCTTCCATTCCATCTCAGATTATACTTTTGGTTTAGAGAATATATATATATAATTAATTCAAACTTTTGAAAGTCTTTGTGCTGTTAGGATATGATTGCTTACTTCCAACCATTTTGGTGCACCAGCCGGCTCCCATGCAACTAAACCGCCATTTTTACTCTAGAGAAAAAAAAAAGATAATTAGGGACATATGATAATTAGGTTAATTTTACCCATGAAAATTAAATTAATATTTAAAATTAATTAATTTTACCTGTAAAGAAAGTAGAATATTGACAGAATCATATAACTCTCAGTTTCTATTTTGTCACCGATAAATTCTAGTGGCATTTTCGACAAATATAGACAACACTATACATTATAAGAGACTCAGTAAGAAATATATTATTTATATTTGGATATAAATAACAATGTTATATTTAAATTTTTGTTGTAATTTCTCATATATAATAACTATTTTATATGCTATATGAAAGTTAAAAATAAAAAGATTATATTCAGATACTCTTTCCAATCTAATTAAAAAATAAATTATTAATTTCAACACTTAGAAATAAATGAATATTTCATCGTTACTTGCAAATTAATAATTTTATATAACTTTAGAAACTTTAGTTATTCAATAATTTGGTAGAACCAAATAGACCCATCATAATTCATTCTTTCTTTCTAGTTTAAAAGAAAATATGAGTCAGATCGAGTCAATTATAAATTAAAAATAAAAAATCGATCCAATCAGATTCAGTTATAAATAGAAATTATAAATTTCAACCTAATATGTGTATATAAGATATATATATTGTTAACTTTATGTATAATATATGTCCTGATGTATACATGTATAATAATTTGGTAGAACCAAATAGTGTAACACCCAAATTTTATTATTTTTATTTTTTAATTTATTTTAATTTATATTAGAATTTTAGTTTAATTTTTTAATATTTAATTTGTAAAGTTTTAATTTAATTTAATTTAATTTAATAAAAATAAAAATAATAATAATGATAAAATAAGGTAAAATTATTTTTGGGATTTAATTGAAATTGATTTTGGAAAAAATGGGTGAAAATTTGGATTCTGGGGGTGTTTTTGAAAAGAAAATCAGAAATCGGGGGTCAAAACACAATTTAAGAAAGTTCTGCCACGTCAGCAGCCATGTCAGTAGCTCCGGCCAACCAGAACACGCCGCGTGGCAAGGAAGCTGACGTGGGAGGCCACGCGGGACGGAGCCACGTGGGTGATCTATGTGCACGCAATCGAACGGTCTAGATCTCACGCGTGCGAACTGCCCATATCTCACGCGCACGAACGGCCTAGATCGCATCGCGATGGACGGTCCAGATTTATTCCCATTTTAATCGCGATTGGACGAGAGAAATTTAAATGAAATATATGTATTAAAAATCTCAAATGCGGAAGAGTAATAAAATTTTTGATTAACATCCCTTACACAATAACCAAAACGTACTTAAAACATGAAGGAACAAACTAACTAAAATAGATACTCGAAATAAAAACTATAAATATAACTATAAAGTCTTTAGGCGTCCCATTCGCCATCTTCCTGCGGAACGGGCTCGGGAACAACGTCTTCCTGATCTGAAATGGTTAAATAAGGGATGAGCTACACCAGCCCAGTAAAGACATCACATTATCTCACCGCCACGGAAGTAAAGGTGGGTAGAAAACAAAAATGACCAATGGAGCATAATTTATAACAAACTCGTTTATTAACATAAAAACCTTTACTGTCCACTTACCTCGGTGAGATCCATGAAAACGACATATGAAAACAATAACCTTATAATATCATGAAATCATACACACTTTATAACATAACACATATCATACCTTTACATTTCAATCATCAGAAGACAGATTTCATCTTTTACCAGCCTACTAGTATCCTTGGGGATCCATAGGGGGTCCCCGCTACACGTGAACCATTAACATTTACAACCTGATTCCAGGGCCGTCCCCATACCCCGTCCAGTATGGACGCCAAAACCATGAACCTCAATACCCCGTCCGGTATGAGGGTGAAACGGGATGTCCCCATACCCCGTCCGGTATGGGCGCAAAAATACATGAGGTCTCCATATCCCGTCCGGTATGAGAGACCACGTTCCCGGTAGGGTTCCCTACGGACCCGGTCCGTCCACCATCTCCCAGGATATCTAGTCAGGCTGTCCACATTATCCACTCATCAATTCACATAACCTTTTTACCTTTTTCCTTAATCTCAATCATCCAATCATACAAAACATGTAAACCAGTAATTAACACCAAATAAGACAATACAGTACCGGGTTC